CTGTCTGTCTGTCTGTCTGTCTGTCTGAGAGAGAGAGGGAGGAGGTTATTATTCAATTTTGACATCACCAGTTATTTTGTTTAATTTTTTCCTCTATCCCACAACACAATGCAAAATGTGTTGCTTTTCATTGGTGGTGGCTGTCACATGCAGGCTCAGAAATCTTTCTATCTATGTAGCCTTGAAAAGTGTAACTTCTTTGTGCATGTTTAATTATTCACATAGGCAACTCAGTTTGATCTGACTTTTCCTCTGTAACTGTTAACTCAGCCACATGAATTCGTGACATAAGTATGGCTAGTGTTTCGTATTTCTCTTCATAAAAGAATTGATTGTAATTTCAATACTGACATGTTATAATTTCAAAGTTAATCAGTAGCTAGTAGTAACCTTGCCTACACTGTGTTGGCTACCTGATCAAAGAACAGAATTGAGAAATACAAGGAAATATATGTTACAAGAGGCACTCTAATGGTATTCTTATCACTAATAAATAATCAGCATAGCTGGGACTTGGTGGCCAAAAACTCCATAAATCTTCTTAAGTCACAATTTTATGGCGTGAAGTTCAGAGGAAGTTTGACAGACAGTAAAATATTCCTGGAGAATCTTGTGTGGTATATCATTCCCCTGTCCCAGAGGCTCAGTTCTCCAAATGCCTGCTTCACCAGGTTAAACACGAGGTCCAGTATTTCATAGGATTAAGCATTTAGTGTGTTTCATACATCTAGCATCTACCTGTTTGCCTTAATCCTATGTCTCTAATATAACTTTTAATTTGCTCAAACTAAAGTGTCTGCTGGTAAAACACTCCTAAAAAGTTGTCACGCTTCTGCGGTTTTCCAAGTCCAGAAAAATGCCTTTTGCAGATACCAATTATAAACAAAAATAACATTGTATATTCTGTTTCTGTGGTTCGTGGGTTTTGGTTATACATTGATGAGCCAATAATAACTTTAGCCAAAAGAAGGACAATAAGGATTAAATGTTTTGGGGAAAAAAGCTTTCCTTTTCCTAAATTCTTGTATATTAGATTATTGTTTTAAGTAACTCAAGGAAATGGATTCTCCAGATGAACACTATCATTGAGGGTAATTATCCACTGGAACAATTTACTAAGGGTTGTGGCAGATTCTTCATCAGTAGTAATTTTTAAATCAAGATTGAATGTTTTTTTCTAAAAGATATATATTCTAGTTCAAACAGGGATTATTTCAGGAAAGTTCTATCGCCTGTGTTATGCAGGAGGTAAGACTAGATGATCACAGTGATCCCTTCTGGCCTCGGAATCTATGAAACCATATTTTATTTAAATTGTTAGTTTAAGATTATAAATACTGGATCAAGGGGAATAACCACATTAGGCTAAAAGTGACTGGAATAACATGTCAAAATTGTTCTTCTGTTAGTTTCTGATTAAAATGTTGTGTCCCTGCTTCACATACAGTCAAAAACATTAGCAGTAACTTTTTCATACTTGTATCTTATTATGCCCAGTCTACAATGCAATTCCCACTGGTATCAATACTTAAAAATAATGCTTGAGATTGAAGCTGATGGGAATTTTTCCATTGACTTCAATGGACCAAGGATTTTAACCAGTGAATATAATAAAAGAAAATCAAGATTGGATCAAAAACAATTAGCTAACCAGCTTCTGACTTAGGGACGCAATATTTGAGGTTGTATTTACTTGTATACGGCCTATATATACTCTAGTATATTGCCCTAGCGCTAAAAATACAATAGAAGTCCTTTGGCCGTTCCATTCAAACTAGAGGCTTTGACATAGCTTAGGCAGAGGGCATAGCATGGGAAGAAGATAATCAGGTATATTGCAGTAAATTAATACCATATTATAGTAAAAACAACAACAATTTAGCCATATTATAAAACACTTTTGCCAAACAATATTTTATATTTTATCACTGAGGTAGAAATTGGAATACCTTGCCTGCCCCAGTAGATCCAGAAACAGTTAACAGCTCTCCTTTCTCAATTTTAAAGTTGATATCTTTAAGAACAGGAGTGCCATGAAGTGGAAAGTTACTAAAGAGGAGATTATTATCATTGCTGGAAACTTTTCTGCTCCCCTGCTTTGCTTTTACAAATATCTCCCCAATTCCCTGCAAAAACATTAGACAGGCAATAAACAGAAGACAGACATATGCAGATACATATACAATACTGTCGAGCTGTATTTTTTTTTAATCCAGGTAAGAAAAGTATGCACTTACTCTAACATTTGTTTTCTTAGATCTACATGATTTCATTATTACATTTTTAAAATAATAAATTTATTAATGATCTTTACAATAAACTTGGCTTTTTACTAAAGTTGGGGGATAAGTGCAGGCACCTTTAACTTTGCTGTTTTTCCAGCGTCAATACAGTTTTGGAGACTGATTCTGCTCCCATGCTGGTGTCAATTGGGAATAACCAGTGAGATGCTGCCAAAATGCAAACAAAATGCTTCCTCCAAAATGTCCATCTTGGCGTAATTTGACATTTAAATGTGATTTTTCCCAAGGTAGTGCACTTTCTCACCCATCACATGCCCCAGAAAGCAGTCTTCCCTAATGAGTGTGGGCAGCCAATGGAGAGAGCAAGTTTTCCCTAACTAAGGGATTGGTCATCAGGCAATCCTAAACTAGGGCAGGGGCCTTGGATTAGAACAGATGATCCAGAAAAAGGTTGTGGGGGGTTATTTTGTTTTGTTTTATCCCAGGGGTAGGCAACCTATGGCACGCGTGCCAAAGGTGGCACACAAGCTGATTTTCAGTGGCACTTATGCTGCCCGGGTCCTGGCCACCGGTCTGGGGGGCTTTGCATTTTAATTTAATTTTAAATGAAGCTTCTTAAACATTTTAAAAATCTTATTTACTTTACATACAACAATAGTTTAGTTATATATTATAGACTTATAGAAAAAGACCTTCTAAAAACATTAAAATGTATTACTGGCACGCGAAACCTTAAATTAGAGTGAATAAATGAAGACTCGGCACACCACTTCTGAAAGGTTGCCGACCCCTGTAATTTATTCTATGTAATTAATGGGAAAAAATCTGAAATTAAAAAATATTTCTAGTAATTTTATTTTGTTTGGTTTAAGTTCTAACCTC